GGGGGGGGGACACACACGTGGCACTGTCACTGTCCCCAGGGCCAGGCACGGGGGGGGCCCCGAGGGGTCCCCAAATGTCCCCAAACCCCAGTGTGGCTGTCCCCAGTGTCCCCAAATGTCCCCAAATGTCCCCAAATGTCCCCAAACCCCCGGTGTGGCTGTCCCCAGAGCTGTGGCTGTCCCCGGTGTCACCCTGTCCCCTTGTCACCCCTGTCCCTTTGTCACCCTTGTCACCAGCGTCACCTGTCCTGTGTCCTCTGTGGTGACCCTGTCCCTGTGACCCTGTCACTGTGTCACTGTCCCTGTGTCACTGTCCCTGTCCCTGTGTCCCCCCTGTCCGTGTGTCACTGTCCCTGTGTCACTGTGTCACTCTCACTGTGTCCCTGTGTCACTGTCCCTGTGTCCCTGTGTCACTGTCACTGTCCCTGTGTCACTGTCACTGTGTCACTGTCCCTGTGTCACTGTCCCTGTGTCACTGTCCCTGTGTCACTGTCACTGTGTCACTGTCACTGTCCCTGTGTCACTGTCACTGTCACTGTGTCCCTGTCCCTGTGTCCCTGTGTCACTCTCATTGTGTCCCTGTGTCACTGTCACTGTGTCCCTGTCACTGTGTCACTGTCCCTGTCCCCCTGGTGACCTGTCCCTGTCCCCATCTCTGTCCCTGTGTCACTGACCTGTCCCTGTCCCTGACCCGTGTCCCCTTGTCCCCGTCACTGACCCGTCCCTGTCCCCGTGTCCCTGTGTCACTGTCACTGTCCCTGTCCCTGTGTCACTGTCCCTGTTCCCGTGTCCCTGTGTCCCTGTGTCACTGTGTCACTGTCACTGTGTCACTGTCCCTGTCCCCGTGTCCCCTGTGCTGTCCCTGTCCCCATCCCCGTGTCCCCATCACTGTCCTGTCCCTGTGTCCCTGTCCCTGTGTCCCTGTCCCTGTGTCCCTGTCCCTGTGTCCCCTGTGCTGTCCCTGTCCCCATCCCTGACCTGTCCCTGTCCCCCTGTCCTGTGTCCCCATGTCCCTGACCTGTCCCATCCCTGTGTCCCCATCACTGACCTGTCCCCGTGATGTCCCCATCATGTCCCCGTGTCCCTGCCCTGTCCCTGCCCTGTCCCTGACCTGTCCCCATGGTGTCCCTGTGATGTCCCCATGTCCCTAACATGTCCCCATCTCACTGTCCCTGTCCCCATGTCCCTGACCTGTCCCCGTGATGTCCCCGTGGTGTCCCCATGATGTCCCCGTGTCCCTGACCTGTCCCATCCCCGTGTCCCTAACGTGTCCTGGTGTCCCTAACCTGTCCCCATGATGTCCCCATGTGCCCCTGGGTGTCCCTGTGTCCCTGACCTGTCCCTGACCTGTCCCTGACCTGTCCCCACGGTGTCCCTGTGTCCCTGCCCTGTCCCTGTGTGTGTCCCCGTGATGTCCCCATGTCCCTGCCCTGTCCCCGTGGTGTCCCCATGTCCCTGACCTGTCCCCACGGTGTCCCCATGGTGTCCCCATGTCCCTGACCTGTCCCTGCCCTGTCCCCACGGTGTCCCCATGTCCCTGACCTGTCCCCACGGTGTCCCCACGGTGTCCCCGTGTCCCTGCCCTGTCCCCACGGTGTCCCCACGGTGTCCCCGTGTCCCTGCCCTGTCCCCACGGTGTCCCCGTGTCCCCAGGGCGGGCGCAGGAGGTGCAGGCGGAGAACGTGACGGTGCTGGAGGGTGGCACTGCCGAGATCACCTGTCACCTGCACAGGTACGACGGCTCCATCGTCGTCATCCAGAACCCCGCCCGGCAGACGCTGTTCTTCAACGGCACCCGCGGTGAGGGGACACTGGGGACACTGGGGACACCTTGGGGACATTGGGGACACTGGGGACATTGGGGGGATTGGGACATTGGGGACATTGGGGACACCTTGGGGACATTGGGGACATCACTGGGGACATCACTGGGGACATTTGGGGACATTGGGGTGGCACTGGGGGGGGATCTTGGGGTGCTCGTGGTGGCTCGGGGTGACCACGGGGACCTCGGGGTGGCCACGATGACCTCACGGTGGCCACGGTGACCCGATGGTGGCCCCGGTGACCCAATGATGACCCCGGTGACCCCATGGTGGCCCTGGTGACCCTTTGCTGACCCCGGTGACCCTTTGGTGCCCATGGTGACCCCATGGTGGCCATGGTGACCCTTTGCTGACCCCGGTGACCCTTTGGTGACCCTGGTGACCCCTTTGGTGGCCATGGTGGCCCCGGTGACCCTTTGATGACCCCGCTGACCCTTTGGTGGCCCTGGTGACCCTTTGGTGCCCATGGTGACCCTTTGATGACCCCGGTGACCCTTTGATGGCCTCAGTGACCCCTTGGTGACCCTTTGGTGGCCCTGGTGACCCTTTGATGACCCCAGTGACCCCTTGGTGACCCCTTGGTGACCCTGGTGACCCTTTGGTGGCCCTGGTGACCCCTTGGTGGCCATGGTGACCCTTTGGTGGCCATGGTGGCCCCGGTGACCCTTTGGTGGCCATGGTGACCCCTTGGTGGCCATGGTGACCCTTTGGTGGCCATGGTGACCCTTTGATGACCCCGGTGACCCTTTGGTGGCCATGGTGACCCTTTGGTGCCCATGGTGACCCTTTGATGACCCCGGTGACCCTTTGATGGCCCCAGTGACCCCTTGGTGACCCCGGTGACCCTTTGGTGGCCGCGGTGACCCTTTGGTGGCCCTGTCCCCGTGTCCCCAGCGCTGAAGGACGAGCGTTTCGAGCTGGCCGAGTTCAGCCGGCGGCGGCTGCGGCTGCGCCTGGCCCGGGCACGGCTGGACGACGAGGGCGGCTACTTCTGCCAGCTGTACGCCGACGACACCCACCACCAGATAGCCACGCTGACCGTGCTGGGTATGGCACCTGGGGACACCTGGGGACACCTGGGACACACCTGGGGACACCTGTGACACACCTGTGACACACCTGTCACACCTGGGGACACACCTGGGGACACCTGGGGACACCTGGGGACACCTGTGACACACCTGTGACACACCTGTGACACACCTGACACACCTGGGGACACCTGGGGACATCTGGGGACACCTGGGGACATCTGGGAACACCTGGGGACATCTGGGAACACCTGGGGACACCCAGAACACGCCTGTGACACCTGGGGACACACCTGGAACCCAGTCTGGCACCCAACCTAGAACCTGCTCTAGAACCCAGTCTAGAACCCGCTCTAGAACCGATCTAGAACATGATCTAGAATGTTCTAGAACCGAGTCTAGAACCGATCTAGAACTTGCTCTAGAACATTCTAGAACCCGCTCTAGAACCGGGTCTAGAACGTTCTGGAACCGATCTAGAACTTGCTCTAGAACCCAGTCTAGATCACATCTGGAACGTTCCTGGAACACACCTGGGGACACCTGGGGACACCCAGAACACACCTGGGGACACCTGGGGACACCCAGAACACACCTGGGGACAGCTGGGGACACCTGGGGACACCCAGAACACACCTGGGGACACCTGGGGACACCCAGAACACACCTGGGGACAGCTGGGGACACCCGGAACACACCTGGGGACACCTGGAACACATCTGGGGGCAGCTGGAACACACCTGGGCATAGCTGGGGACACCCAGAACACACCTGGGGACAGCTGGGGACATCCGGAACACACCTGGGGACAGCTGGAACACACCTGGACACACCTGGACACACCTGGTGTCACCTGTCCCTTTGTCCCCTGACCTTTCTCTCTTTTCTTGTCCCTCATTCCCGTCCTTTCCTGTGTACCTGTGTCACCTGGGTGTCACCTGGGTGTCACCTGGGTATCCCTGGCTGTCCCTGGATGTCACTTGGACCTCACCTGGATCTCACCTGGATGTCCCGGGACGTCACCTGCATGTCACCTGTGTGTCACCTGGATGTCTCCACCTCACCTGGATGTCACCTGGCTGTCACCTGGCTGTCCCCCGCGTGTCCCCAGTGCCACCTGAGGACCCGGTGGTGGAGGCGGCGGCTCTGGCCGTGGAGGGGGCGGAGCTGGAGCTCACCTGCCTGGTGCCCCGGGCCCGGCCACCTGCCACCCTGCGCTGGTACCGCGACCGGAGAGAGCTGCCAGGTGAGACACCTGGGGACACCTGGGGACAC